GTAGTTTTGTATTTTCGTGTGTTTTCACAGCCTGCATATAGTGCCTTTAGGAAAGCTCACCTACTTATTCTTTAAACGGGTCAAGTTAGCTAGCTGAAATTCGGCACGAAGAAATTAACGCATGAATACTATATTTCAACATGAAATGGCGGCTCGGCGCCATATGGTCTTGTGGTACCTCATTCTGAAGCTCCTTAAGAGTACTAGTAGTACTTACTTCTAGAATATAGAGCCACTATCTTTCAAAATGACGGACTGGCAGGCTGAAACTTGAGTGTTTTGTGTAATAATTCGCTTATAAATCAACAACTAATCATCAAGACGTTGTAGCATGTTATATTATATATATATATATATATATATATATATAATTGACAGATTTGGACATTCTTTTGAACAGACTGTTTCATATCATGTTTTATATTCGGATAGACTTTTCCAAGTAAAGAAGATTGATATTACATTCTGTAGCGCTTTGATAACTGGTTGTCGAGTTATAAGCGACTAGATTACAAAAACGTGCAAATTTGGCATGCTACCAATTCGTCATTTTCAAAGATAGTGATTCTATACTCCAGTGCTATAAAGTCCTCAAAAAAACTTGAAAATAAAATATCACACGATTTCTCATTCTATAGCATTCATGCACCGATTTCATCACCCCGAATTTCGGCATGGTAACGGACCCGTTCAAAAGACAAGAAGGAAGGACCTTTTTGAAAAGCACTATATGTATATCTTCCCACTACTGCTACTGTTGCTTCTTGAGTGGTGGCTGTCAAAGTGGATAAAATGTGTAGATAAGGAATTAAAAGTAAGATATTCACAAAAAGAGCATCTTTTTATAGTATAATATAGAGGACAAAAAACTAGCTTGTAATAGTCTAATCACATTAGACGAAAGTATCCATGGTTTGCAAAATAATTGTAGTCCGGTATTATTGCTGCAAGTTCTTATCCAAAATATGGACGCATAAAATGGGTACACCAATTTTTGTGGGAAAAGTTTTTATCCGCCAACAAAAAATGAGAAAACGTGTTTTTTAGGATTCAATCGAAAGTATTGGCAGGAACGAAAAATCTCTTCATATAAGATTTTTAGGTATTTATGAGACCTACAAAATAAGGCCATTCGTAAAAAGATTCGACTAATAGCAAGAAGATATGGCCGAAAACCGAGGCAAACTTTAGGTTTTGGCACTTGTTGGTAATGCAACGATGGTTTCCCGCAGATATTTGAAATTCTTCAAATTCGTAGGATTCGTACTTTCTAAACAATTGGTTTGGAGTAGATTGGTCAAGTAGTTTTTGAGAATTTCTAATTATTTATCCCGAAGCACCTATTTTCCGGCAATCACTACTAGGGAATTTTATAGCAAAATACACTACTTCACCTTGCCTATATAAATCGCAAACCATTCCGGAAGATAAATGTTATTTTTAAGCAAAAAAGGATGGGTTACGTTTTTCCTTCTCGTATTTATGGGTAAATGGCAACAAAATATGATAGACACAACCGCTTTGTTTCAAAATGTGTATAGTAACATATGTTTTTCGAATATCGTAGCACATTTGTTCAATTACTCACAAATACGTGATGTTTGAATTTGTTTGGAAAAAAAAACGTAACCTTTGTTTTTCGCAAGGTAAACACGTGTATCTTGCTATTAAATGCTCTTTGAACGAAACCTGTATATTGCTCAATAAACTAGTAGTGATGGCCGGAGAGCAGGTGTTTTGGGATAAACAATTAGGAATTCTCAAAAAACTTTTTGATCAATATAATCCAACTTTGTTGCCCTTATTGAGAACTATAAATCCTACGGATTTAAAGAATTTCAAATAGTTGCGTGAAATTATCGTCGCATTACCAACGAGTGCCAAAACCTGCAGTTTGTCTTGGTTTTTGTCCATAACTTTTTTGCTATTAGTTGGATCTTTTTACGTATGACGTTATTTTGTAGGTCTCATGAATACCTAAAAATCTTTTCTTTCCTATCAACACTTTCGATTTAATCCCAAAAAACAGGTTTTCTCGTTCTTTGTTGTCAAATAAAAATTTTTCCCTCAAAAATTGGTGTACCCATTTTATGCGTACGTGTTTTAAATACCCCTTGAACAAGTTGCACTAATAAAACCAGACTTCACAATTATGTATATGTATGTATATTTGCTAATATGATTAGACTATAAAGGTAGGAGGAGCTTATAGCCACATTACATTCATTAGATTTGTGCATACGTCACAGAGGTAGTGTGTACTACCCTTTCCTTCTGATATGGGTCGAGTATGCTCCAAGATACCGCTGCCTTGAAATTTTCAAGTATCGTCTTTGCGTTAAAATATAATATTGATACATCAGTTTCATTACTCCGAATTGCAGCTTGCTAAGTTCACCCGTTTAAAACATTAATAGAGGGCTCTTTTTATTAGTGGCGTAAGAAAGCTAATATTGCACGAGGATATATCCACAGGTATCAATGCAAAGAGATGGTAAATATCTCCGTAGCTTTAGTATGGATTCTAAAATAAGACATTATGCAGGACAAGTATGAACTAGTATTCCTTGAGTTCGAGTTTCAAATACTACTGCAGTCTATCAGTCCAACCAGAACTGTATTCTAATCAATATCATTGAGAAAAAAATAACTAAAGCGATTACAGTTTGATTACGCCATTTAAAGAAAAATAACTAGCTTGCTTTAGTTTAATTAAGCTCCATTTTTTAAAACAGTTTACTTGAATCTACCAAACTAAATTGCAGTCGCCTAATCGAATTTCCTAGACCGTTCACTTAGATTGAGTATACCCACCCATTTAAAATTAATGAACTGTTAATATTAATAATAATACTTTTTCCAAATCTAGTATCACAAATATCTAATATATGCAAATGACACAGATGTGGACCTAACGTAATACCCAATCAAAAACTAAAACGAAACATTCATGCACTGAGAAATACTGCAGCTATACTAAAACCCGTTTCAGGTTTTTTAAAGGTACCTTCCATCGCTTTCAAATGATTAGGTAGTTTATTGTACAACTTTGTGCACACATAAAAGGAGTTTTTTTCAGTTATTGTCAGCCTATGCTGAGGTAGTAAAATCTTTAGAGCTCTTGTACCGTAAATGTGATCATTTTGCGTGGAAAAATTGTTTTGTATTTTCCACTGTGAACATAACACAATCAAAAATGTAAAGTGTATATACTGTCATTAAACCCATATACGTAAATAAGCCTCTACATGCTTAATCAAATTTCATGTCACATTGCTCTTATGGTCTTTTTTGAATAACAAATGATTTTTGCAGTCCTAAGCTGCCTCCAAACAGTATTATTCCAAAACGTAAAATCGATTCAAAATTTGCACAATATAAGCATTCTAAATTTATATAACTAGATAACTCTCTTATCCGATAGCTACTAATTTTCAAAGCAGTTTTATTTATGTGTGGAGTCCAAGACAGAAATTCATCTAAATATATTCCCAACGCTTTAGTTTGCTGACTTACTTGGATGTTACTATCAGAAAGGGTGGTATTGTGTGGCATATCAATCTGTGATTGCTTTGTTCTAAATAATATTAAATCAGTTTTATCATTATTTAGTACTAGTTTATTTATTTCAAGCCATTTTCTCACTGATTCAAACACCTACTGACCACGTCACAGCTAAACCACCAACAACGGCAACATTCAAATATCAACGAAAGTCACAAACGAAACTGAGGCATTCGATGTGCGCTACCGGCACTGCAACTGTCGCATTTTACCTATCATTCTCGAATGAAAGATATGCCGAGTGCGTGATGCAAATAAACAGCTTCAGTCTTTCTATTAAAATGTTTAGTTCTTTTAAACGAAAGTTCTACATAAGCTAAGTTGTCTAAACTAATTAAATAGTTTAACAAAACAGGTTCACAGTTTGCTATTTTCAGTCGAACTGGTTCCAGAAAATTCAGTTTAATTAAACCGAATAAAAATGTATTACCTGTAATAAAAATTGCCTGAAAAAAAAAACGTGGAATTAACCGCGTTCTCTCAGTGTGCAGATTTTTAGTGTTCTATTATGGAATGTAGATTTAATTTGTGTGCTTATCGCTAATGTCTAGAATGTATTGTTTTTAACCACAGGAGTATTATTATTATGTTATAGAAATTAAGTTTAATATTTAACTTTAATCTATTTAATAGAAAATATGTCGTTCCAGAATGATTAACGAATATCAAATTTTGTTGACCTACCACAAGTTATCTGCTACGCAAAATGGAAAAACCTGACCTTTATAAGTGAGCCTGACAAAGTTTTCGAAAATCACGCACAAACATTTTTCCTTTGAAAACTGATTTAGTAATGCAAAAATCAAAGCACTTCTTTCTGATACCCTCTTTAGACATATTCGCTTACTTTGGACTGCTCTGCCACACGTTCCAGTGACTTGACCGACTTTCGGTAACAGATCGATCTAGTATTTTAAAAAATAAGTTCCAAGTGCATTTTGAGAGGCAGCAGTAACCTTACTGCAAACGAAAAGCAAACGGTTTTAAGTATCACTAGTAAATTTTTGACATACTTCGATAGTTCTATAATTTATTTTTTGAGAGTCAAGGAACAAATCAGAGCATATAAAGGAAACATAATTGTTTGAGACTGTTGCTTTACATTTTCACAAAAAGCTCTCTTTTGTAAGAAACATATATAATATGCTTTATGGAGAAAAATTCTCAGTTCCATGATGACAATTCTTTTAGATATTATCAGCAGATTTGGAAACATCATAGACAAGAGGTACACGATACTGTTCTCCAAATTTGAAGAATATTTAATTCTTCTCCCAAAGACTTTATCAGGAATTGAAATCTATGGAAAATGTGTAGTAAACTAATCCGTACTGTATTTTCAAATGTATTACTCATATCTCAAAAAAACAATGTTAAATATTTGTATGTATTTAAACAAAATGTTAATTAAAATCCAATGAAATATATATTTTCAGAGAGACATAGTCCTTAGAAATGGTTACCCTATAGAAAAGCACAACGTACTGACAGAAGATGGTTACATTTTGGTGCTTTATCGTATCCCAAGCTCAAATAAGGACAACACTAAACGGCAACCAGTGATCATTCAGCACGGGATTCAGGGATCTGCTGCATTTTGGGTGCTTCACGACAGAAAATCCATAGGTAATGCAAGCAGCCGAGAGGTTATTTTTAAATAATGTAGCTTTTACATTTTTGTGTCCCAAAAAAAGTGCATTTTTTCTCTAAAAAGCTTGGATAAATGTTACTATGGGGTAATCAAACCCTTTAGTCGTTTTTCGACTGACATCGTGATTCTTGACTAACTAGGATCTGTTTGCTTTCTGTCTCTTAACCAACCGTATACCACGTTGTCTCATTCTTTTTAGCAATCATTAGTACGGTGTAGCTCATTAGAGACAGACGAAGAAAAGCAAACAAGTGGATATTGGCCCATTAAGACAATAACTGTAGTGCGCGAAACGTGGACCTTCAGACCAACTACGAGTATCACGTCTAACTCCATACGTGCCTCCTCATTCAGGGGAGCACTAAGTGCTAACAATGCTTTGACGCACTATGCAAAAGTTGCATGAACTAAAGACAAGCATGATGGTTCTTCCTGAATACCTCTAACTAACTTTTGCATCCCTGGACGTTCTTTGATTCCCTAGGAATCATAAGAACTGGAACACACGTTATCTTCGCGAACATTTCCCTGTCTAATTTAGGATTCCAAAGATAGAGCAAATTAATTTTGCAATAATACAACCTGTATTGCGGTATTTTTCGTACTGCGTGTCCATATTATCGAATTGTGTACAGCAGGGCTGCATGGTAGGTGAATTTTTCAATAATTATTTAACGCTGGCTCTCTTATTATGAATTAACATGACACCGCCTGAACGTTTATTTTTTTCACACAATATATGTCGAGGATTCGCTGTCGGTACCGCAGGCATACCGCAGGCATCTGCAACCGCATCTTTTCGCTATCCTTAAGCTTCTCGTGCTTTGTTCGTAACCACTATTTCACTCTTCTTTGAGTAGCTTCGCTTATCTCACACTACATGCAGAGCTCTAGGAAAGAACACGTATACTTCGTATGAGGACATTGACAGAGCGTGCTGCCAAGGTAAGTCGACCACAAACGCCGCACTCTCCCAAATTTGTCCGACGGGTTCTCCACATTATGGTAGCCCTATACTAATACAATTAACCAGGAAGTGAGATGCGTTCAGAGCAATAATCCAATCCGAAGCTTATTCCTTATATTAGTGTGATTATCGGGTCAAATACCGTACTCCTTTGGGGCTCTAACGTTGCTATGCTCGTAATTTCTTATATAACGTATAGTAGTCGCTTTCACCGTCGTCTTGATTTGCCAGTGAATATGCTGAATATACTTCATGTTCGTACATTTATGTACAGCTGATGACTTTATTTACTGTAACTTTACATCCTAACAGAGTTTGCTTTGATACTTGCTCTACGGAGGCATTCCTGAGCTCATAAAAATCCGATTTGTCATATCAAGGTCTCTGAGTTAGAGTTGATTCATATTACAGCGCAGTCGATCAATATATACTTTGATTTTCGATTAAATTCGGTGATTTTTCCCTAACAAATATCTCATTGGGCACATACACCTAAAATAGACGGGTCCCAAGATATAGGCTGTCCAAATCAGTGTAATGTGGTATCAGTTCTACTCGAATATCTGCTTCAAGTTTCGGATGATTTCGCTGATTTTTGTGTTATGCACCTAGGCATCCTCAACAAATCTCTCAATGTGCGCAGGCCGCAAAATCAACGGGTCCCAAGGTATAGGCCGTCTAAGTCAGCATAATGGAAAGTCCGTTTTACACAGCTATCTGCTCTATCTGGAGAAGTGGTTTCGTTTGTTATGACGGAATTTGTGAAATGTCGTGTCTCTAGATATCCTAGAGAGCACAAACCCCCAAAAGTCAAAGGATCCCGAGATATAGGGCGTCTAAGTGAGTATAATGGGATACATTCAAGTCTAACCGATACCGCTTTACTCTTAGATGGCCTGTATCTTGAGATCCATTGGATTTTTACCTTTAATAGATTTGCTGAGAACCTCGAGATACACAAATTCAGTCATATTAATGTAGCCACTCTTGTAGTTAGAGCAGATAGCGGACTTGGATGGACTATAACGTGGGACCCATTGAGCTAAAGCCCATTCAGCTTTAGGTCCTGTGCTAATTGATATATTTACTCAGGATGACAAGACGAGTAACATATAGAAATATCAGCGAAATTAACTGAAGCCACTTTTTCGATAAGTGTGCTCCATTGGTCCTTTATCTTCATAAATGAAGTTTCATCGTCAATCTGGCGTTTGGCTCTATGCAGGAGTATCATGCTTTGCAGTCGTCAGGACACACGAATCCAAAGCCGCACCTAAATACCAGTATACGCAGCATATACTTTTCGTTTACCATCAGTATGCCCTTTGGTTTCCCCATACATTTGTCATTAAAACTTCGAATAATAGAGAACTGCTAAGCGTAACGATCTGCTAATGGACTAACTGTATCGTCCTGTTTGACTGATTTGATCGGCTAAATTCCCCTATTGCACTTGTTCGTAACTAATTCTATTTCTCAGAGGATTGAACATGAGCTGAACTTAATCCTTTACTTGACGCTATTTTTTCTATTTCCTTTATATATATGGCCCCAATATCGGCGCAAATGTTTCGGCTCATTAAAATCTGCATGTTTGATGATACGAATCGACCTCTAGACGAAAAAGACTGCGAATTGTCGGATATCTCTATTTCTCATTCGTACAAAAATGACTACGGCCTCTAGAAAAAAAGGTATAACCTATCGATTTCCCCAGAGAAAGGACGACAGGAAAATTTTTCATGCTCTTGGTAGGCTACGTTTATGAGCACCATAAATCCTTTCATCCAGTCCATTATGGTCAGCTTTAAACTTTGAAAGGATGATAAATTATTTTAGGTAATCCTTATATGTTATTCAAATCAGAAACAAAAGAGAAGGGGATGCTGTGATACTAGAGGAAAATCGATATAGTCGTCCTCCAAAGTTATCTTGAGTATTCATCCATGTGCAGGGTGACTGGCAAAAAACAGAAATATCCTTGGGTTGGCGTGTAAATTGAAAAATAATACGAAAAGTTCCCATAAACACAAAAATGCTTACTTGCTGGGCTGCAGGATGTTGTAAATTTATGTTTTTGCGTTTGCATACATGATGATGTTTTTACTAAAGCTTCTACAACTGTTATTAAGGATAGCGATGGAAAATTAGGGATTTTGAGAATGTTCGAACTAGTGTTACTGATGATTTAAGTCCCTCAATCTTTTCTCAGAACGAATTTTTGATATTCCGGAACGGTCACTGATAGAGGCCCTGATCACAAGCACCACGAAAGCCCAAGACCTAGACACCCATAGGTACCGTGGGACTATGAAAGATACAGGGGAGAGGGAAGGAACCTCACAACATGCACATATTCCGCGTTCGTCAGTCCGAGACCGTCTACCACCCAAAACATCTAACACTATATATCAGAAGATATTCCATTTCACATCACGCCCATGATGTTTCCAGCTTATTTTACAAATACCTTTAAGTATCTAGTTACCTGGAGTCAAACTGACAAACTCAATGAATGCAACAGACAGCCGATTGTGTTTGGACTGGTTTGTCCAAGGGGACCAATGTAAGAATGTTTTCTGTTTGTGTCTGTGCTGATTATTAGGGTATTCAAGAAGGAGCACGTTGAGAAGCTAAATTATTAATTTCACAGTCATTCTAAGACATGTCGCAATACAAGGTGCAGTTATCAAGCTGACACAGTGAATTTGACAGAATCCAATAAATTTAAGTGGCATTAGTATCTACCTAGGTGTTTTGCTTCTAATATTCACCTAGAGAGGAAAATGCTACTTCAGAGTAAGGCAGCAATTCGTAGTGACAGCCTACCTGCCAACTTTTATTACCATTGATTCATGTGGATATCGCTCCTGCAACGGACTTAGTTTTTATGCATCTCGGCTATATTTTTTACGAGATTATACACATTTCACTATTGGTGTTAATAGGATAACGACTATTTCCTAGCTATTTGCGTCCCAGTAAGTACCAGCATATTTCCATATAATTAAGATTCTTTTTTTGTTTTTTTTTTTGGGATTGCCTTTCCACCTTGATATATGGAAAATTAATACTATTAGAACCATTCAAAGCAATTACACAGATATAATGATGGCGTCAAGTAGATGGCATGCAATTCTGAGTCAACCTTTGTAAGTCCTAATATCCTTATTCTTCTATTGCTCTGCCTTGTTTAATGTTTGCCGGCTATGGAAATGAGTAAACTTTGACATAAGGCCCCAGAGTAGATAGAATAACCATGAAAAAAGTATCGCTGATTTGGCAAAAATTGAAATATGGACTTTTAGTACCAACGGTCTGTACTTTTTTTTCATTGCCGTGCACAACTTTCTTGCGCCCTAGCATGACCTGTTTCAGAAAAATGTACTTAATATAAGGTAAATGAAATTATTCGTATCACCAAATACCTTCATATTCATTATTTCACACCTGAATAACTCTACGGACCTCATCATGTTGTCACCGTATCTGATTATTTATGTTCAATACATTGTATTGCCATACTAGTCGCAATTGATGCATACCCCATCACCGGGACGTCGTGACCGACATCTTCCCAGCTAACAAGATCGTCTTGTGGATATTCACCCTTCAGCGGCGCACCTTGTACATACTTATACAGAACATTTCGTTTTAAGGGCAAATATACGGGGAAATATACATATGTGTGAATTATGCCTAATAAGCTCGCAGAATTACTGGGGTTGGATGTTCATAAATGTACTACCTCGAAAAATTGCAATACACCCTCTTCCACCCCCCTGCAGTGCCCTTCTCTTACTTTTTTACCCTCCAATTTCTTTTCAAAGATGAACGGGAGCCTCTGAGACGTCAAAAAACAAAATTTGAGCGATTTTTGTTTTCTGCCTGCCAGCTGTTAGTGGATTTTCAACAACTACAAAGTTTTTTTCCTGGCAGGCAACTTAAAGTGGAAATTCGTCAAAATTCCAGCAGTATTCCAAGTTATGGACAGGTCAAGGATTAGTGGATAGGCAAATAGGCAGACCGACAGAGATGATGAGTGACACGGTTTTCCGTTTACACCTTTGATTATTTCAACGGATCAATTCAAAAAATTAAAACTTGTGGTAATAAAATTTTTGCGTGGATACCATATTTTAGATTAAAATTGATAGCTGAAAATATCAAGATGGCCGCTGGGCGCCTACTTGGAAAAAAAGTTATATGGAAACGGGGGTCTTGTGGCATATCATTTTGAAGCTCCTGACGAGTACTTTAACCCTAGAATATAAAGTCAATACCTTTACCTACTACAAAATGGTGGTGCATTTAATAATTACCTGAATACATAGATATTTAACTTGATAATTGGAATAAATGCGTTGAGTTCAGTTTAGAAGATGCTGGAAATGGTTGCCTTGAACTTCTTGACACAATAACAGCCGGTCTGTAATTTCGCGTCACACATTTTCAAACATAGTAACATCGATATTTCCACAAATATTTGTTATTCTCAGCCGTATATCCAATATTGAAGCAGGTTCAGTTTCGTACACCTTTTGCTTCAAATAGCCCAATAAAAAAAGTCTGAAGGTGTCAAATCTGGCGAGCGAGCTGGCCATTCCACAGGACCTCGACGGTCAATCCAATGACCAGGGAAATTGTTACCTAAATAATTTCTAACTTCTTGTCTGTAGT